CTTTTATAGTGACCTTGTCACACCACATAACCTTTTTACTGCGACAAAAAGCTCAACAAAAGGGCCTGGGACTGGACTAATGTATTGACTGTGAATATAATGTTGAACATGTGAACATTTTTATTCTTTCCAGTTCCCTTAAATTTAAACCTCAATTTCCGAACGATTGCTTTCTTYCCCTTTAGTCTTAAAAGTACAAGCAAGCAAAGAAAATGAATCAATTAACACTAAAAATAACATAAACGAATGAATTGCAGCTTACATTTCTTTTAGGCGAGATGTGAATTACAACCACGTGATCAAAACCTGTTGTTGGTCCGATGTAGATCGGTGTCACGGATGACTTAGTTAGTATCAAGGAAGTTTCTATGCTCTTTGTCACGGTTCYATGCTTAGTTGAAACTGGTGTTTCTAAAATATCCTTTGATAAAGTGGYTGAATTCTTTTGTTGTATCSATGAAGTAGTGCTTTTAACTKGAGTATTTGAAGTATGAATTATCCTTGAAAGACTATGCTCTGTTATAGGTCCAGTTGTGTGGACAGGGTCTTTTGAGAAATAACTGCTTTGCATAGTCATAGTGGACATGGTTTTCAACTCATTTGTTGCCGTCGATGAAGGTTGAATATATAAAGTACTTGTTATTGGAATACTAAACCAGCCTACCGTGCTGGCTGTAGTTGTTGGTTTCCATTCTGTACTTCTATGAAAATGCGTTGTTTGAATGTGATGAGCCGTGGTAGTTGGTTTCAAACTAGACAATGCGTATACTGTGGAAAAAAGGTTCCATTAAATGTTAGATGGACTTGATCGGCAATAATCTCAATGATCATTATGTAAAACTCTCTGAMATTTAACGATTTGWATCTAATGAAGCCTTGGCTGCTGTGGACAGCGAAAGGTCTGAATCAACTACTAACTACCAACACATAGCAGTCAAGGCTTCAWTAGATACAATCRTTTATATACATATTATGCTGCTAAAGGATAACTTCAGACTTTGCTCCGCAAAACTGTATGGCACACGAAAGCAAAAATAAAACGTATTTCAGCTTGATCAGAAAGRAGATTCTGCAAAGAAAGAAGATGCTCTTTCTTAAACATACCTTGAGTGCAGTTTGTTCCCTTCCAGCCACTTAAGCAAATCTTTTCGCCGCTTTCTGGGTTGCAATCATAATGCCCAGTGGTATCATTCCTCGGAGTACACTCCTTCTTTTCTTTRGTGCAATTATTAKCTGCATCATACCAGCCTTTAAGGCAAATCTTGAGTCCGCGATCATAATTACAAGTATAATGACCTTCGATGTCATTGTCACGAGACACGCAGTATTCGGTGCATTTTGGGATTARATAATTGTCGTCGCAGTAGACTTCAACCTTGACATTTGTACAGGATGCTTCACCACATAGCTGTTTGCTCAATGGTGACGATGCTTTCTTGTTCTTTTTGGGCTTTTGCGTAACCACTAATGTGTATTTATCTACGAAATCGTCCAGTTTGCCAATCAGCTGACCGCCATCGTCATCCCACACTTCGACAGCTACTGAAACACCCTATCAATAATGGTAACGAAATCAAAATTATACAGGAAAAATATCATTCATGCTTCGTTACAGTTACAGTTGTCAGCAATATTCATCTTAATTTATTTTATACTTGACACAGTTTTCTTTGTTATTCATGTTTCTTTATTTTTCATATTTACCACATTCTTAAAGCAGGGGGAGAGATTTGAATTGCAGCAGGGAAAATTGGGGTTAATGAATTGAATTGAATTCTGAAATTATCATAAAATTAAAGTGCTACTTGCATGAAAATGGCCTYATTTCAAAACTTCAAGCAATACAAATATATGACTCATTGATATCTATTAAAAACAATTTAGGGAAAATATTTGTTTTGGAATTATCCCACATCAGATAAATTTTGATTCAAAAGATGGAAGAACAAAAGGATGGAGTAAAATGACGTCATCTACTCCAACATTTTTTGTCCAAATTATCAAGGATTTCCATGAATATTTTCTTGAAATCTGCTGCTTCATGATTATTAAACCCATATGGATAGGTCTATTTGATTTCCGAGTCTTTTCTAATGATTCGAAATTTTCGTCCAAGTAGCCCTTTAAGGGATGTATGAAAACCCTCAGAGACGTATAGTAATACATCTGGGACTATTTTGATGCATCATGCATTTATGATAAATTCTGAATTTCATTTTATTAATGAGTGTCGTACTTTTAGTTAACTAACAATTCATAGTAATAAATTAGACTACAAATTCAAAGTTCAAAAAGTCTTTAAAAAAACAAAACTCGAGCAGTTTTCAAATTGTTGAAAGATCTTAGACTTCTTGGTTAGTTCCGTTTGCGCTAAACCTTCCAGCATCTTCAACATCGTTGTTCTCTTTCTTTGCGATGACACGCTTTTTATATTTCAACCTTGGTTGAAWCATCAGGGCGTTGTTATTTCTACAGTGACCTAACATCTCTGTCTGAACGGGTTTAGCGCTAACGGAACCAACCAAGAAGGCTTAGAGCACTGGAATCGGAAATGCCGATTGCTCGTTTTTTGTTTGTGAGCATAATAAACTTCTCCGGTATTCCTTTCTGCAATCCTCTAGTAGCGTTGTCGCTCTTAGACTATGATTTGTGAAGTATCCTTGAATACCAGCTGCCTTGAACATATTCTGTATGGTAATGTTGTATAAATTTTAGTGTTGCTCGGTATTCGCTCTTCAGTGCACTCCCTCAAATCTAGTTACATAACTCTTTGCTTTTGTCTCCGAACCCTATCCAGTACTAACGAGTTACTTTAAACAAAGCAATTTAAAGTTTGAGCAATATATTCTCTTGTGCACTGTATTTTCATTCACTGATCGGAACCATGGTTAATAGCAGTAACCATCCATCCGTTCGGTGTGTTTTTTTAGAGCAGATATGGGTCCAAATAGGCCTTGAAGTTTTAATGCTAAAATTCAACCAAAATACATAAGAAAAACTACAAAAGCAAATGAAAAAGTTTTTGAAAACCTCCTCAAGTRTAAAATAAGCCAGTTACATACCTCGAAYGTCGGCAATCAGCCTATACATAGGCCTCCATTCTCGGTATGTAACTCTTACTTATGAAATGAGAAACACGACCGACCTTGATTTGGAAATCTCCGTATAAATCRATCAAGCTTATGTTTAAATATTGTGATCCTCTATGTCATATATCTGTTACTGTCTTGAATGTCCTTCCAAAATAAGCCGAATGTCCTGAATAAAGCAAGGACATTCAGGACATATAAAACATCTTAAGTTATGATAAATTCTCCATTCTGTGTAGAAATTCAAGCCGTAAACATGGTGAACCGAGTATGTCGTAACTGCCCCGTTCCTGGATGTGGTGCTAAATTTTTMGTAACATTATCAAATCATCTTGCTAAAGTTTATTTACTGGAAGATAAAAAAAGGAAAATATATTTGCAAGAAGCAAGATTGCAACCACAAATCAAAGTGATAACTTATGACGACAATCATAGCCAGAATTCAAATGCTCCATTTATAAGTMCATCAGTGCAAAATGAATTTACCACGCATTATCGYCAATCAATTTCAAAAAAAGAAATTTGCAATCATGAAATGAAGATTAATCTAAAAAAACTGACAAGGAAAATTGGCAATTGATGAACTTTCCTTCAGTGTGAATTATTATTTTCGCATTCTTTATAATTATTTGTGATACGATCTACGCATGCTCAACATTAATTTCTTTAAAGCTGACTTTGRCAGAATTTTCAAGCAGAACATCAGAGCCATCCCACATGGATGTCATGATCAGTCATACATAGAAAGGCCAGTGACTGGCTTCATTTTCATGTTCAGTTTGACTGTAGAGGTTGAACAGGCGACGGTGATTTTCATGTGCAGTGGTTATAGAATCCCAATACGAAAGGAGTACTATGTCCGACTCTGAATACAGTAATGACTCAAGTTCACAGAGCGTTGAAAATACAGACAAGCTAAGTAATCATTCAAGTGAAGCAATTTCAACTGAAAAAGAAGAAGTTGATGTCGAGATCGATTTTCAGTAGAATTCAAAACCAGGTCATGGAGAGACATCAGCAAGATAGAGATGAACTGGTGCAGAAATATAAACAAAATGGTGACACTGGTTAGGCCATATGGAAGGAAAAGTTCACCTTTATGTAGATCCCAGCGTAAAACCAACTGTAGCACCACMCCGCAAAGTACCACCATCAATGAAGACTGATCTGAAAGAAGAAATAGATCGACAAACCAAACGTCAAGTTATAAGTTCAGTAGACACGCCTACAGATTGGGTGTCTAGTTTGACAACAGTCCGAAAACAAAATGGAGACATACGACTATGCATTGATCCTCAAACGCTGAACATCGCACTCAAACGATGTCACTATCYCTTGCCAACTATAGAAGATMTACTACCAGAGCTATCCCAACCAAAAGTCTTCAGTAAAGCAAACCTCAAAGAAGGATTCCTGAAGATTGAATTGGATGAAGAGTCCAGTTATCTAACTACATTTGGCCATTCATGGGGCCGTTATCGCTATCAAAGACTCCCTTTTGGAATTTCACCAGCCCCAGAAATCTTCCAAATGAAGCTGGATCAGAATCTAGAAGGCCTTGACGGCGTTTTCAAGATTGCTGATGACATTCTAATCACTGGCCAAGGAACAGATGACGAAAGTGCCAATAGGGACCACGACAAGAATTTAAAAAAACCTTCTTGAGAGATGTCGCAAGAAGAACATTAAGCTCAATAAAGCTAAGTTCGAATTCAAGTGTGATGAAGTCACATTCATCGGACACCGTCTGACAAAGGAATCGTTGAAGCCCGACCCAAATAAAACCAACGCCATATTGAACATGAAACGACCAGAGGATGTTGCAGCAGTACAACGCCTACTAGGTATAACTAAATAACTTTCAAAGTTCCTTAAAGATCAGATGAGTGAGCCACTAGGACGTCTCACGCATAAGGATGAGCAGTTTGTCTGGACCAAAGACCACGAACAATCATTCAATGATATCAAGAAGACGATTTCATCAGCACCCATCCTTAAGTACTTTGATTCATCCAAAACGACAGAGGGAAGTGGAGACGCATCACAGAAGGGAATAGGATTTGTCTTAACACAAGATGATCACCCTATAACCTAT